AAAACATCTGAGGAAAGAAAAAAGATGAAGAAATACAATTTTTATGAGAAAAGCTGAGAAAAATAAAACTTTTATTTAAGTTACACACATGTTCTCTAAGTCTGCCAAGGGTCCAGATGATATCACTTCTGGCTAATACATTGACCAAATTATTGGCTAGTAGGATTAACACAGCCCTTTTACAGATGTAAATTCTTTCCTGGCAAGAGAAGAACACTTTGTAAGATCTGCAGAGATGTGCCAATTGCATACAAGTAAAACACAGAATCAATATTATCTTTGGTTTTCTTGAACTAGATCAATTACAAACAAAAGGACTATACTCAAGATTATATAATTTCTTCCCATAATCACCCTCTCACTTTCTATGTACCCAGTTCGACTCCTTATTCTCATTTCTATAATAGAGAAACACAGTCTTTATCATTCATGTGGTCCAACTAGTGTTGATGGAAGGAACAGTAGTGATCCAGGAGTCAGGGAGTAGTGGTATCTGAAGTGGGAATCAGGCTCTGGGTGTGTTTTGCCAGGCTCTCTTCTTAGAAAGAGAGGGACAGAGAAAGGGAGAAAAAGAAGGGGAAAAAAAGGGAAGAGGAAGAGAGTAAGAAATTAAAATGTTTTTAGAAAAAGTATCACTTCTTGGCCTTTTGGCTAAGATCAAGTGTAAAAAAAAGTATAAACTGCCCTGTTTGGCCATAAGCCTCATCATTCCCTAGTGTCTTCTTCTGACTTTATCACACTTTGTCATGGGTTTGGCTCCTAAAAGCAATAAATCTCACATTTAGTCCAAATGTTTCATTTTACAGATGCAGAAACAGAATTCAAGAATAGTTTATTAATTTGCCTAAGGTCACACAAATGGTTATCAACAAAACAACGGTACGTTCAGTGAACTGGCTCCTAGTTCCACATTCTCACCTGACTCTATCATACACTCTGTCACAGTTCCCCACAAATTCACCTAAAGTCTGAAATATCAAAATGTTTCAAGAAAAGGAGAAAACCAGCATACAAAATGTATATAAAAAAGAAATTATGTGTTCCTGTCATACTACAAATTTGTTTCATTTTTCTTTATGCCCACCTTAGGAACTAGGTGAATAGGTGAGTCAGTTATATAGATATTGTTGACAGAACCATATCCACACCCAATATTGCAGCAATAGATGAGACATGATTCTGTTAAGACTAGCACACTAGCAATTCTAGCAATTGCTAGACTAGCATTTCTAGCAATTTCTGTCCTTTCTAATAACATATTCCTATACTCGTGTGCAGAACTTAAACCACAGCCTGGATTGTCTGTTATTCTAGCTTTTCTTGTCCTTTTTTTGGCTACAAACTAGTTTATTTTATACCTCATGGTCTTATACAATGATATATTGAATTTAAATTAGAGGAAGGGAATTTGCTATCCTCTCTATTTATAAATATTTCTCAGCCATTCTGTGGCTCTTGAATTATAGCGACCTATGGAATAAATGAACACCTAACTATACTGCCAGGAGACCTCCCAAATTATTTCCAGTTCTAGATTAAACTCTGTGATGTCCAGCACACCTGAGATATGCCTATTTTTACTACACTGTAAACTTTCAGACTGTCTACTGTGTAGGAGTAATACTACAGATCAGTGGGGCAAGAAAGTCTTTCAGTTTTTCTGTAGAACTCTCGATTTGAAGGAAAGTCATTAAACCTTTCTACTTTCTTGCAAAGGGAGAACAGGCAACCCAAAGCAAGAGATATCTGTAGAGAAGTCAAATAATAAATACAACTGAAAAGTGTAAGGGAAAGGATGAAAGGTGAATGTGAAGCAAATGGGCTTCCTATTTCCATGGCTGCTGCAAGATCATCAGAGGCAAGGAGAGGCAAGGATTCCACTCAAGTTTTTAAAGCAAGGAAGTAAACTTTGAGTCAGTTTTCACATCAGAAATTCAAATTCTTAATATACTATAACAGTACCAAAATTATATTTAAAGCAAAGAAATAAAGAAATTTAAAAAATGAAGGCACTCTCATGTGAAATTGTGAATGCATCTTGCATTTTTAAATGGCTACTTCCTGGTTGAATATAAATAAAGGGCTATTAGTAATGATTACATGTATAATTATTTTAAAACTAGAGGAATAAGTGGTGAAGAAAGACCAAGACTCTTTATTAGCATTTCATTAAGCATGAACTAGGCAAGATATTTTGGGGAAGTAATGGTGGATAGACAAAACCAAACAAACCAACAAAATCCAAACAAAATAAGATAAAGAATTTTAAATTGCATTTTATCTGACTATAGAGTAACACAATTCTTAGGCACACTCAAGATAATGAAGATCCATATATAAAATAACTCCACCATACTTTATATACTTAGAAACACAAACTTTACTTTAAAGGCATTATCCTATTTAAAAGTGGTAATTTACATTTGTGAAGTTAAGAATTTCTGATTATACTTAAGGTCAGGATTAATTCTATTTTGTTTCCTTCCAGAAGCTGTTACATAAGCTAACATATAAAAATAAAAATGCTACTAAATAGACAGTATGTCCTGAAAAAAACATGAAAAATTTCAGGCTCCATTTCTTGATTCATTGTTGAAATTATGATTAAAAATTTTTTTGAATTGTTTAACTTTTTTCTTTTTTTTTCTGAGACAGAGTCTCACTCTGTTGCCCAGGCTAGAGTGTCGTGGCATCACCCTAGCTCACAGCAACCTCAAACTCCTGGGCTCAAGCAATCCTCCTGCCTCAGCCTCCTGAGTAACTGGGATTACAGGCATGTGCCACCATGCCTGGCTATTTTTTCTATTTTTAGTTGTTTGGATAATTTCTTTCTATGTTCAGTAGAGACAGCGTCTTGCTCTTGCTCAGGCTAGTCTCGAACTCCTGAGCTCAAAAGATCAACCTTCTTCTACCTCCCTGAGTGCTAGGATTACAGGCGTGAGCCACCACGCCTGGCCTATTTAACTTTTTTATATCCCTATGTTTGGTCTTGGAGAAATGATTCTGCCATCTTATATTGTTATCATACTAAACTTAAATTTTATTTTAAATTAATTTAAAAATGTATTATCTTTGGGGGATGGTAGTTTGTGCCTATAATCCCAGCTACTCAGGAGGGTGAGGCAGGAGGGTCATTTGAGCCTAGGAGTTCAAGGCTGTAGTGAGCTATGATCACGTCATTGCTCTCCAGCCTGGGCTGCAAAGCAAGACCTTGCCTCTAAAAAAACTTTAAAAATAAAATAAGGTATATTACTTTTGTATGGAAACTCTTTATTCTTTAATTAAGCAGTATTATTGGTATTAAACACATTATTATAACATTAGCTTGAAATTAACCTCTTTACTGCATCAAAATGCCTGATATTAAATAGCTCCCAGCCTTTACATAAAGGCTCAAAATAAGATCAAATAAAGAGAAGCATTAAGAGACACTTGCAATAAAAACAAAAAATGTTGACCAATCTCAAAAATTAAACAGAATCACTTATATCGTTATGCACAGTATTTTTCTTGCTTCCAAATGAAAAGTTAGAAGTGGTTATTTCTGTATCTAACAGGTCCTGAAACATCATGAGTAGACTGATGAAGGTGTTTGTTAAACCAATTATTTTACTCCTGGCAGTCTGAATACTGAGAATGTTGACAGTTTGTAACACTATTGACCGATGTAGGCAATACATAATAAACCTTACAAAGTCTAGAGTAATGAGAAAATAAATTTTCTAATCTTGAAAAACCTTCACTTTACTGAAAGTAACAAGAATAAATAGCTGCTAACATTTAATGAGTGCTTATGTGCCAAGCACTGATCTTTACCCTTATTTTCTATCATACTAATCTGTAATTATTTTGTGGCTTTCTGGGGACAGGAAATTTATCTTGTTCCTTATTGCATCCCCACCACCTAGTATACTTAAATTAATAGTAGGCACTGAATTAATATTTGCAGCATAAATTACTGTTTTAAATGTTTTAAATGGTCATGACCTACAGGGTCATGAAAATGCAAGAGAATAGAAAATAGAGTATATTACATTCAGTAGGCTAAAAATTCTTCCATGAAACTTTTCTTTGGTTTATTTGTACATTATACCCCATATAAATGTATTTATTATAGGTATTAATTTTAAAAGTCGGAAAATCACTGCTTTATGAGGATTATTTCATTTGCTCCTCACAATAACTCTGTAGACAATTCCATAATTTACACAATAACAGAACTGAAATTTCTTGAGGTTATATATGTTGTACAAGATGACACAGTCATCTACAAGTGCCAACAAGATAATCACTCTTAGGGTATTGTACTAAGAAAATTTGAATTAACTAAGTAGGTTTCAATAGTAGTAATTATGACTTGATTAATAAAGAAAAACACAGGCTTTGATGGCAGACAGGCCTTATACACCTGGCTCTGCCACTAACCAGCTGTGTGGGCTATAGCCTGAAATTTAACCTCTGTGACCTTTGATTTCCCCATGTGTAAAACAGACATATTCATAAGATTGTTGTAAGTTTTAAATGATTTACTGTATGCAAGTAAACAGCTTAGACCAATAAATAGAAGCTGTTGTGATTAAAATAATTATCAGTGTTTTTTTTTCCTGGTCCTAAAGATCACATTCAATCTACTACACCATCATTTGAATGTGCAAAAAATGTGAAGTAGGCATTTATTGGGTTAAACAGCAAAGTGGGAACTGGGCAAAAGTGGCATAGAGCCATTCAAGAGTGTCTGCTGGCGCTGGTTGACAAAGATGCCCAACTTAAGATCAGGGAGTTGGTTCAGGTAACTACGGGAATCTAAAGAAACAACGCTGTGTAACCTTAAAAACAAAATCGAAGTATTTCATTTTCCTCAAAGATTACAGCAACATCCATCTTCTTCCTCTGCAGCCTGACGGGCCAGACCGAGGTGTTAAGAAACGCACCTGGCCGGATCCCGCCCACTAGGCCCTGGGTACCTAGGGGCTAAGGCACAGAGGTTCGGAGCAACTCACCCCGGAGACTCCGTTGATATTGCCCCAGAATCTCCTCCAGGGTAGAGTTCCCTGGGGAATTCGCCATGCACAGACGCTGGGCCCAGAGATGGGAGTTACGTGAGGAAACGTCCAGCGTCTTCCCCTCCAACAACAACAGGCCCCAAGGCCGGGGGAGCTTCCGCCTGCTTCCTGCCGCCGCTGTCACTGGGGAGCCTGGAACCCCGGACAGAGCTGGGGGGGGGGTTCTTCCCACACACTGGCCCTCCTGGTGGACGTCCGGAGTTGTAGTCCGCAGGTTCAGAGCCTGCCAGCTCGAGAACTCTAAGAGCCTTCCAGCTACACTACAACTCCCAGAAGCAACCACGCTCTCCACGCTAGCTTGGCGGTTGGGCTGCCAGAACCGGTTGCCAAGAGACAGGCCTGGAGGCTCCGCCCTTTTCATCTACCCCGCCTAGCTTAGTCCCGCCTTTATCCCCATCCCGCTGCTGCCTGGACCACCCAGTTGACAGAAAGGGCTCACCGAAGGCCTTAACGCTTGGAAATTTGCGAATATGCAATTGACTCCTGCGGCTACTCAGGGACGCAAATGATAAAACTCTGAGTCTTGTTTCAGTTGCTACGTTTGTCAAAACAGTCAAATAAATCCTCAAGAAAAAGAAGTTCTAAGTCTTCCTAAAAGCCTAGCTTGTCAGGGCGGCCCCCAGTACAACTCCTAGCCTGCCCACCGGCGCCACTTCCACTTGGAGTTGGCGCACTGCCCGCTGGGAGCTGTAGTCCTTGCTGGCTGCGGTCCCAGCTAATGCCAGGGTCCTCTTCATTGTTCGAGCTGGTCTTTGGAGGCACGCCTGCGCAGTGGGCAGCTGGCAGAGCGTGTGGGAGAGACCCTCCGCACAACCCCTTTTCATTGTCTGTGATTGGCGCCTGCGCAGTAGAGATCGTTGAGCCTGGGCGGGAGGAGGGGAGAGAGCCCGGCTCCTCGCCCTTTGCCGAGGCGCCTGCGCACTAGGCAGCCGCTCTTTGCCGTTACCGCTATGTGTGGGGCGTGTGTGGAATAACGTTATTGCCCAGCGGAATCGAGGGCCCGGGAGCTCGGCCGCAGCGGCAGCGCCGACGACAGCGGCGACAACCACAACCGGGTGGGGGAGGACGGCGTGCGAGAGACTCACGGGACGCGACGCGCCCCGCCTCCTCCGTCCGGTCCCTCTCTCCACCGTGAGGGGTAAGTGATGCGCTCAGCAGGTCGCGGTAGGCGCTGCCGATGCCGCCGCCTTTCCTCATCTTTCTCGTCCTCCTCCTTAGGTTTGTGGCGGACACTCGAGGCGCGGCCCGTAGCGGGGCGGGGGTGCGGGGCTGGGCAGCCAAGGGGGCGCTTCCCGGATGCTCCGCGCGGCGCCGCCACCCCCCTTCTCCGCCCGGGACCCGGGGCTTGGCGGGGCGGGCCCTCCCCACCCCTCCCCTCCCCACCCCTCCCCTCCCCTCCCCTCCCCCACCGCCGCCCCCGGCCCGCGGCCCCGCCGCCCCCGGGCCTTCCCGGCCATTGCCGCCGCCTCCGCTTCCCCAGTGTATGGAATCGTTTTCAGTTCCCTCCTGGCTTTGTGCAGCCCTGCCCTCTGCGCTGTGGCAGTTTGAGGGGTGCGGGCGGCGCATTGGAGGGAATGGCTGCGCTGCAGCTGGGGAAGGGATTTTTCCCGATTGGAGCAGCTACCAACTAGGGCCGATCCCTTTTGTGTGGTTGGTTTTGGGGTGTGGGGCCGTTGGGGGAGGTCAGGCGAGGAGCCTTTTGGACGCGTTGGGAGGGCGTGGAAGACGTGGTGTCACGCACCCTGCCAGGCGACTGCACCCCGCGCAGGCAAACCCGGGAGAGGAGAGACTGGCTTCCTGTCGGCTTCATTGTCCTAAGATTCAAATGTAGGGTTTTTGGTATGGTTCTCTTCCATTTTATGCAAGGGGGAAAAAAAAACATTAGCTGCTGCCTAACACAGGGCGGGAAGAGGTGGAATTTGTATCCTAAGTCACAGAATCTCTGTTTTGTGGTGTCTAGTAGAGTTTTACCTATTTTTTTAAAGAATGTAAAGGAAGACAGGAACCATGCCTGGAGTCCGAGGAGCACTGCCAAGGTGGTCAATATGAAAGTATTCGGTGACGATGAAGGCTGGGTTAGGAAGGGACTGACAACGAAGCTGTTGTTGTAGCAGGGAAGTGAACCAGCAGAATTGTGTTTTCATTGGGTGGGTAATGCATTCATGTTCCTAAGGGAATAGATTAGGATGCATCTTTCTGTTTTATTTTTTAAGCAGTCTAAACGAAGCAGAAATATTAATATATAGGCCTAGTATATGTCTTTGTGTTTTTTTGAAGTTGTTTACTCATTTTTGTTCTCCCAAATTCAGCCATTTGGGAGGAGTTTGAAGCAGATGATGCATTTGATTGGAAATGCATCTTTTAAAATGATTTGATCCTTAAACTTAACAATGCTTAAAACCTTTTGCTTGCGCGTCTGCTTAAAACAAACAGAAGAGAGAATGAAGCAGGATGGGGAGGAGCAGGTGGAGGAATAATGTGAGAAGACAAAGTTACATTATGATTACAGTAAATCTTTACAAGATACAACCCTAACTGGGTATTCTTCAAAGACCTGAGAATTAGGCTATGGAAATAACGGTAGGACATTGATGAATAGCAAGTTAAAAACGATTTTGTATTTTTCTGCCATTATTTTTAAAAAAGTAGAACAAGTGATGCTTTTAGCTCTTCCTAACTTCATAGATAGTGTAGAGAACGGAAAAGTCTAAGGGCCCTACAATGACAGTGACAGAGGAAGACACTAAAACTTGGAAAGTTAACTGACTTGTCTGCCCAAGCCAAACTGCTAATGGGAGGCATAGCCAAATAAAGCTAGGTCCATTCTGTAGAGCAATCTTTCCTGTGTCCCCTAGTCCTCCTACCGTGCAAAAATTTATGGAAAGCTTCTCTACTTGCTCTTTGAATTGTCTATGACTGTCAGTGAACTTGATTCTCACAATTGTATTAATCTAGTCCTTTTTTTGTGATGTAAAAGTAATAATTCTACTGAAATGGAACTTTAGTTTTATAAAGTATCTTACTACATAAGGAAAGATGCCTTAACACGTGCCTTTCATAAAAACAAACTGTTGGAATGTTTTCCCTACTACTTAATGGTAACCTATTTTAATATTATTTCTTGAAATTCAGTAGTATTTTATAACAGTATGGTCAACTCTGTAAACTCTGTTAAAAATAAAATTTCCACATAACAAAAACCTGTGAAGTTTGCTATGATTAATGAATTTTATTATTTTCAACTTAAAATAGAATTTACCTTTTGAGAAATATTAATGTAATGCTTCTTATTGGGTTGATTTTGCCACAAAGTGCTTTAATTTTACATCACATTTTAATAGACATTTTCTTTAGAACTTACAATTTCCCTTAAATTTCAACTTAAAAAGTGATCTGTAACTAAATTCATTGTGTGGAATTATATTTAATCATATTTAAATGTATTTTACTGATAAGTATCATTGTGTTCTAAATTATTTTGTATGGAAATAATTAATCTACATGTTTCCTATTTTAGCATTAGCATAGTGAACTTTACACCTAAAACATTAACATACATTCTGCATATTATAGTGCTTTTTAAAATTCTGTGCTTAGTGATTTGTGTTATTTGCTGCGACTATCAGTTTCCTGCTCCCTTTTATCTACTGGGGAAAAGAAAAGATATAGTTTTATTGTTTTATCTGGTAGTAATCAGATAATGCTCATTTAGTAGTGAATACTGTATATGTTTCAGCTTCTTGTCAACATGACTTTTACTCAAAAAAATTCCATCCCTGAAAGATACTTGTTACTGTTATAATTAAATGTGGTAATTTTTTTTCTTCTCCATCTTAAACACTTGAGTTGTTAAGCAATGTGATACTCTAATATGTATCTAACAGACAGCATGATATTTAATTGCCAACTAAAGTATCTGTACAGTTGCAAATTATTCTGGATGTATAACAGAGCAATTACATGCCATCTGAAAAATACTTGGTGAATAGATAATGTTGACTGGAGCATTTAATGTTGATCTGTTTCAATAAGAATTGGGTTTACTCTTAATGGAAATTTCAGATCTCTTCAATTCATTAAACTTTTGTTAATAACCAAGATTTCTAATCAACTACCCTTGGTGAAATGCATTTTGATTTATTGACTCAGATATTTCTTGAAAGATGTGTTCAGCAATGAGTTAGCTGTGAAGATAAAGAGAATAAAAAAATCTGTCTGCTAGTGTGATTAATTAAATTGGATATATTGTCCAGTTTAGTTGAAATGATTGTGCAGCAGTATAAATTTTTGTAAGCAAAGTGAATGACATAGCCAATGTGTATTACAGGTAAAGCCAGCTTTTATGTCAAACAAAGGTGGAAAAGCAACCAATAAAAGCAAGGTTAAAGAAAACCTCATAAAAATTACATATAAACAAATAGGGATTGCACAAAGCATAGAAGTGGAAAAGAATTGCAAGCATGCGTTACTCAGGTTTGAAAAACATGAGATGTAGCAGAGACTGAGTCATTATTTCAGTATATCAATAATTAATAGATGATATAGAAAATATTACCCTTTGGGACATATTTATTAAATAAATGAATAATATCTACCATGTATTGAACACTTACTTAGTACCAGGCTCTGTGTGTGTGTGTGTGTGTGTATTTAATTGATGTAACAGTCTTCTAAATTAAAGTATTATTTTACATAGTTAAAGCTGAAAAAAATTTGAGGCTCAAAGTTAGTGTATAACTTTGCCTCTGTGTCCCATATTACTAAGTAGTAGAGCCTATAACTGAACCTTTGTCTTTTTGACTAAACTCAAATTTCTTTCTACTCATCTTTTTTATTTATTTATTTATTTATTTATTTTATTTTATTTTTTTTTTTTTGAGACAGAGTCTCGCTTTCTTGCCTAGGCTAGGGTGAGTGCCATGGCGTCAGCCTAGCTCACAGCAACCTCAAACTCCTGGGCTCAAGCAATCCTCCTGCCTCAGCCTCCCGAGTAGCTGGGACTACAGGCACGAGCCACCATGCCCGGCTGATTTTTATATTATATATATTAGTTGGCCAATTAATTTCTTTCTATTTTTATGGTAGAGACGGGGTCTCGCTCAGGCTGGTTTTGAACTCCTGACCTTGAGCAATCCGCCCGCCTCGGACTCCCAGAGTGCTAGGATTACAGGCATGAGCCACCGCGCCTGGCCCTCATCTTTTTTAGTAAGTTTATTTATTCCCTTACTCTGATTCATAAAATTTTAGATTTGGAGGGAACTTTAGAAGGCAGCTCATACAATGTGCCACCCACTACTAATATCCCTGAGATGTAATTGAATCTAGCTTCTCCACAAATCCTTTCATGGACATAGGAAAGCCCATTTAGCTTTCAAAAAGT